AGGGTTATATTATTGGTGATGTATGTTTGGGGCACTGTGCAAGGCATACATTAGTCATAAGGGGGGTTTTTTTAGTAAAGGGGCAGGGCTTTTTTTAAAAAAACTAATTTCTAGAATTTCTAGAACTCCATTCCAGCGGATTCACCGAGGAAAAAAGCCCTGTAAAGCAGTATTGTGAATGTGGCTCTCTGCAATTTGTGGAGGGAGTGCCACTAGCAGTACCATAAATCTCAAAATTGCACTAGTTTTGCAAAGGAATCTTATGAGAATGTTTCAAGATTCAAATTTGTCAGATTCAAGCTTAAAGCCAAGCAAGGATCACAAATTCAATCTAAATCTACAAAGTTAGATCCAATATCACCCTGAAATCCAGATGCTCTCTGCAGCATTAACGGGGAAATGCTTTTCACGTATGCAATTGTGGTTTCTGTTGAAACTTTTTGCTTTAAGAAACAGCCAAACGTTCAAAGAAAAATTAAGGAAATAGTTCTGAATTTTTCTTATTTTGTTAATTGAATTAAGCCTGATACCTAAATATAGATGTTTCCTTGTTATTTTGTATTTAAGTTTTGTATTTATCTTTTATTGGTGAGAAATATATAACATTAATATAACTGAAATCCTAACCTAAGGTAAATAATCACAACTGTTCATTTTTCAGTGATTTCAAAACATTGCACTGATGAAGATTAGGTTTGATTATGCTTGGTAATTTCGATTTAATATTTTAGTTGCCAGTACTCTGCTAGGAAATTAAATGGTAATTTCATTGTGTCTATATTTTCTTGGCAGTGTCCATTGCATTAGGATTTATTGGAATGTATAAATTATGAAAACAAAAAGGACATCTTACCACAACCACAATTCCATTTAATTGCCTAGAAAAATAGTGTGGCAGTGATATTATTGGTGTTATAACATAAGTGCTTTTAATACTGGATTAATGTTTATTTTAAAGATAAAATCCAGGTGCTGCCTTTTAAACTGAAGCTCATCTTCTTCCTATTGTTTGCCATAGATCTTTCCCATTAATGCTTGCTCTCTAGTGTGTTTCAGACCCTATATTAGTTTCTTTGGAATCTGACTTACCTCATTGCCAGATCTGTCTTCATTTTCTGTGTGGTGTGTGCTGGGAGGTGGGCCAACTGCAACATTCTTAAAGTTAATACAATCACCAGAGTTCAGGGTCTGTCAGAAAATATATGCTGGTATCTTCTTCTTTTTTTACTTTTTTGGAAAATGAAGATTCACTTGTATGTAAATATTTCCACTGAACACTGAACTCCTAAATCCTAGATTCCACTAAGGTTGCTAGCCATAGTTTGCTGCCTAAAAGCACTTCTTATGGAATAGCACTGAGTAAATCAGTGAGTCCGCTTTTGAATAACAAGTCTAAGAACTGTAGCATTACTGATTTAATGGGGTTTTGTTATCCCTTGTGAATTTACAGTTCTCTCCTATTAACCAGGGCTCTCCAGAAGATCAGATGAATGAACAACCAGCCCTTGAACGAACTGGTTCCCAAGGCGAAGAAGAAACACGTGCTGAGTTCTCCAGGAAATCTCAACACCGTTCTTCCTCTTCGGGTCATCACCATAACCATCGTAGTGGCATTAGTCGTGGCCTGTCTAGACAAGAAAATTTTGACTCAGAAACACAAGATAGCAGAGATTCAGCATATGTAGAGCCAAAGGAGGACTACTCACATGAACGCTACGATTCTCATAGAGATCACAGTCACAGGGACGAATCTCATGGGAGCAGTGATCACAGGCATCGAGAATCAAGGCATCGCTCAAAGGAAAGGGACCGAGAGCAGGATCACAATGAAGGCAACAAGCAGCGTAGCCGCCATAAATCAAGGGACCAGTATTACGACAGGGATGGGGAAGTGATATCTAAAAAACGCAATGATGCAATGGAATGGAAGAGGGATGTGTACATCCACCAATAACATTTGCCTCTGGCAGTCTTGTGTTTCCTTGAAGTTGTGTATGAAAAAAGCCCCTTTTAAAAAAAATCTGGGTTTTTCATTGCAAATCATGTGGTATCCTGTATGCTGATTTATATAGCTGTTGCTTACACAGCAATAGCATGACATAGAATATTCATTTGGATTAGTGCTGTAACACTTTGGCATAGTACAACTGCAAATTTCCTAATGTTGTACTGTGCATTTTTTTTCCAAAGCTGTTTTTGGTAGCTGCCACTTGAACAATATCTGTTGCCATCAAGATGTTGTTAGTGTTTTCAGACAAAATACAATTGATGTTTATTAACTTCCCATGTTTTTTCAGCCAGCCAAAATCAGCACATCCAAAACTGAAGCTCTCATCTATTCTGATTTTTTAAAATTATAGGCACTTAATTTGCTTATTGATTTAAGAGCCACTTTCTGTTGCTTGTACCTCTAGTGGACTACATTTGGGGACAGAATTCAGTCTTGCCTTACACACAGGGGATCATGGTCAAAATCTCTTTTCTATGTACTGGTACTGTGTACTGTATAGACAGTTTATAAATGTTATTTCTGCAACACCTTTCATAAGATTGACCACACTGTTTTAGAGTCCTAATGCCAAGTCAGCAGATTTGCTTTTGAATTACTGGCAACTGGAACCAGCCTCATCCAGGAAATTTGTTAATGGTGTTCACTCTAGACACTTCTGTAGCAGACAGCTTGTACCTTAGTCTAAGTATGAATGAATGCTTTAGATAAAGGATGGATTGTCCTGACCATTTTCGCATTTTAAATCTATGAAACAATAAATGGTTCTCTGCTGCAATTTACACACTAATCACAGTGGGCACACCGATATCTTTCCTTTGTCGACTTGATAAATCACTTTTGAAATGGAATGTAGAAGTGTGCCTATGTAAAATGATAGAGATATGAAAATATATAACAGGAGTGACTGCTGAGTGTACCCAAGACAGTCTAAGGACCAATCCCTGTATTATGAATCAGAGCTCATTGCACATTTAGGTACTCAGGCAATATGATCTATGCACATGAGGATGGCAATATTCAAGGAAAGTGCTCATGGAAGATCACAGGGTTACTTACCTCCATGCCATTCTCATAGAAGTAATTTGCACAATCTTCCATGAATGCCCCCATCAGGTGTTGCACATCTCATGTGAGACAGTTCATTTGAGCACCATGATGTGCAAATTAGCAACAGTTCATAACCACATCGATCAGTCCTGAGAACATAACATTTGTCTCTTTCTTCTGTCTGTAACTCTAAAGTCTAAACTTCAGGCAAGCAACATGAGGAAGTTTGCAGCTATAGGTAATTGGGAAAGTGTTAATCTGCTGGCTCTTCATTGAGGATCCAGGGAAGTTAAAAACACAGGCAAATGTGACTGTGAGTGTTTCACTGGAAATGTAAAATCTTTTTGTGTTTTAGAGTATTTGTTTTAGTAAGAAAAGTTTACACCGCTTGTGGAGAGTTATTTTGTTGGAAAATAAATTTTTGTAGCTTCTCCACTTTTTCTACATAATCTATGTTGATCAACCTGTTCTTCTGCCCTTCATCTCTGAGTTGTAGCTGCCAGCAAACTGCTATTAACAAGTTGCCCTAATTAGCAAACTTTGACAGGAGCAATCCAGAAACCCAAACGGAATGCCAGGTCTGCAATGAACTAATACAGGCTTGTAATCAATGCCAGTTAACAGCATATAGTTATCACTTACCATGGCCTGGCCCAGTCTAGACCAAACTCTGCCCAACAGTTCATGCGCAAGTACAGTATCTCAGCACACTTATTAAAGTAATGGATATTAGATTAAAAGAAGAAAAGAATGTCTAACTATATGGGCATTTACACATCTTGAAAATTCCTTTCAATATCTGAAAGAGTTGAAGCACTTTCATAAATATGCAAGATGATGCAATTTTGGTTTTTACTGGTTTGGAAGATGTTGAATTTTTCACGTGTATTTCATAGGTCTGAAATTATGCATTGTTCCAAAGCTTAAGGCCGGTGGAAACTCATTTGGCAGCACGAAAGGAACATGGGCTGTACCATGAACATGTATAACTGGAGTAGGTTGACCTATAATGATGGAACTTTGCTCATCGGAAGGGGGAATTTGCATATCCTCTGCCTGCTATGTCTGGCCTCATTTACTCTCATTAACATATAAAATTATACTCCAGTTTGGCTAATATACAGTCTGCCATGGTTTTCCTCTGCTCTCTGCCTTAAAAGGGACTTCTGTGTTCCAGTTAACACTACAAGAGATCCAAATTATTTCAGCCTTTTATATTTTCAAAGAAAGCTGCCATGGTGTCTCAGCAGTTTTTAGTTTTTGCACTATCATATCTGATTAAGTCTGTATAACACCTCCAGTATGCATTTTAACAGACTGCAGATAGTGTGACTTTTCTACTCTGAAACACCTTTTTCTCTTGCCACCTCTTTTTGTTTTTTTTTTATTGAACACCTTGAAGAAGAGTTCTGCAGAATCCAAAAGCTTCCTTGCTACTTTCAAACATTTTAGGTGGTCCTAAGAAAAAGTATACTACTATTACTTTTGGCTCCCTGTGATGTTTGGCATTTTACTTTAACTCCAGGAGTAACTTCAATGCTCGTTATTTTCAATCTGGTTGTTAATACCTATGCTCTGTCATATTTCCCCCATTTCAAGTTTAATCTTTGCAACTGGTTGTTTAGCAGAATTTCATATTTTCCAGCAGCTATAAATAGAAACTGTACTGCAAGCATCCATATAAAGATATGACTAAATTTGTTACCGTATCGCCTGAATCCAGGAAACCCAAGCTTATTGGTTTGTTTCTGCATCTCTTCAACTTATTATTTAGCAATTAATTTGATAATCCTGTTCATAACATGTTTTTCCTAAACCACTCTTTGGGAAAGTGAGCAAGTATTCCCGACTTTGAACTCTATTTTTGCAAGGTAATGGCACGTTTTGGTAACGTGAAGCTACTGACCAAGAATTTAACACTGAGATAGAGGATAAACAGGATTTTTAAATAATCCAATAAATACATTAAAAGCTTCTGTGAAGGAAGTGCTTTTAAATGTGATTTGTTTTACCTACCATGTTGTCATAATACTCAGGATTTGTGTAGGATGCCAAAAGCAAACATAACGTCTTGCCCTAAGAAGATTAAATACTTACAAAGAGAAGTGATGAAGGATTAACAAACAAACAAAGGTGTGTTGACTTGTAAGGTTGACAGTAAACAAACCAGGCAGATTTATGTTGAAGAAGTTTTGTTAAGTAAATCAGAACATGAAGCATGGATGGGAAAAAAGCATTTATTACCTAAACAGACACTGCTTCCATACAGACTTGTCAACAGCTTTACTATCAAAGCAAGGCATAAGGCTCTTACCAGGCCCTTTGGGGTTCTTTATATGGCCCTGCAACTCTCCTACCACAGTCTGTGCAGGCTACTGACCTATCTTCAAGGTTAAGGAATGGTGCCCTGACTCAGGACTGGTTTATCTTCAACTGCCATTCCCTTTCAGTTAGGCATAAGAGTATAAACAGTGGCAGGGAGTGTAGTGCATCTGAGCAGAACCCAAAAAAAAAGTGGAATTTGCTGCATGTCTGCATTTGTAGAAAAGATGGTGATGGGTGCCTGTAGAAAAAGAGATCTGGATAATATAGATGTCAGTACTAAGGAGGGGGAGATAGGATGCTTTTTAACATGGGAAAGGACTCTGGAAGGCATACAATGCCATACTAGAAGGAGACTTCTGGGAAGTATTTTGCTCTGACTGGAAGCAATGGGTGTTTTGATGGTGGTCCCCATCCTATGAAATGGCCTACCTCTGGTTAGGTTTTTATTTATTTATTTATGCCTGTCAAATGGAGATTCTAGGCAGATTACACAGAGTGAGTCAATACAATTAACAGAATGGGACATTCAATAAAATAAAAAATAGGACTAGGATTGTAGAAATCTGGAACTAACCAGAAAACTAAAAACAGAACGAAAGGAAAGCATAAGTAATAATACATTATATGATGCATAACAAAGCATAACACATTATATGATGCAGAATTATTACATAGCAGGGTCCTACTTACAGCAAACTATACACAGTAATACAAACCACAGACCCTAATCATTCATCCAAGTCACCTTGTGAATCATTTTTTGTGCAGTGCAACCCTATTTCCTACATAGGAAAGCTCTCTTGAATAATTCAGTTTTGCATAGTTTCTGGAGAGCCAGGAGAATGGGTGCCTTCCTAACCTCCTAAGGTAGACCATTCCATAAGGTGGGGGCCACAATGGAGAAGGCACATGTTCAGGCACATGTTGATTTTGCCCATATGCAGGTTGGTACCTGTAGAAGGCCTTGCTCATATGAGCAAAGTTGTCAAGACAGAGCAGGCAGAATGTGTAAAGTGGTTTTGTTTCAACAGGTATTTGCCAGCCGATTTTGACAGTACCCACTTCTACAGGTGTTCTGTGGCATGTGGAAGGTATTCTATAACTCCTGTTGGTTGTGGCTTGCTGAATTTTGAGGACATAAATTAAATTAGTGCGAACCTTGATTGAGCTTAAGTCCCAGTTGTGAGTTCTTCTATTTTATTGATTATTGTAAAGTACTCCAGTTAGAAACAGGATAGAATTTTTTTGTAAATAAATACATACAAGAGGGGGACCTTCAAGGATTTGCAGGGACATCTCATTTCCCCCTACACCGCTATTTCCTCTTTCCCACCCCTGAAAGCCCCCGTAGCCTTCCCCTTTTACAATTACCTTCTCTTCTTCCCACACAGGAGCCAACCAAGACTTGAAAGCTGGCAATACCATTGTGGTTGCCCAGCAACAGCCACGGAGGGCATTTGTTTCTTAAAGTTACAGGCATTGCTTGTGTTCTTTGGGCTTTTTAAACGCCCCAATGTTTTGTTTTGTAAGATCTCAGATTTTTCTGCAACCCTGGGGTTTTGTAGAAACAT